AAAGGATTCAAATTGTCATTTCTTTCTCCCCTTGGACTCTCCAGATTCGGGTCGAATGTATCCTCCTCCTGTGATAACTCTCCAATCTCCACAGTCTCAGTTGCAGACGACGGAGCTCTTTCCTTAACTCTTACCAAGTAGGCTTAAGCATGCATCTTCAACGTGGCATGGCTAGGGATTAAGTAATAGGAAAGAAGAGTTTAGTGGGGTTAGGGTTTGGTTTGTAGAAGGTATATTTGGTGGTAGAAAAGAGTGTTTCGGTTTATGAGGGATGCTCTGAAACCCTAAGATGAGACGAGGGTAGGACAAGCTCTGATACCAAATGATACAGGAACTAGTAGGAAAAACAGTGAAAACACAAAAAAAAAAAAAATCTTTTATTAACATTAAAATAGGATTACAACATGACTCGAGCGGAAATAACAATATAAAATATAAAACGACACATACAAACACTCCTAAATGTATTCCAATGGGTGGTGGAGGTTGGCTAGAGGGATAGAGATGATTGTCAGGAATGACGGCAATCACGGGAAGCGGGTGGCAGCAAAAGGATGGTGCGAAATTATAGAGACAGCAGGTGAGAAAGGTTTGCAGAAGGTCGACAACGGTAGTGGGGCGTTGGGAGGAGCTTGAAAGGAGTTAGGAAGATGGATCGGCAATAATAACCTATGGTATGCGGAAATGGCTGGGTGTTGGAGTGACAGAGGGAAAATTTAGTGACTGAAGAGTGGGGAGGAAAAGGTTTGGGGAAGGTAAAAGGGAATATATAATCACCAACCTTAAGAGAATACAACACCACCTCCTCGAGGAATATATAATCACCAACCTTAAGAGAATACAACAAAATTACCACCACCTCCTCGGATATAGCCCACTAAGGGGAAAGAGACTCCACACAGGAGATCTGAAATGAAACACACCAAGAACTTACTAGCTACATACCTAGGAAAGTAATTTATAGGCTCCTCACTGGACAAAAACTTCTACACAAAAGAATAGAATGGGGAGACCAAAAGAATCCAGAAAATCCAAAGCCGCCATCTAGGATCGCACAGGTTCACAATCCCACTAGCTTTCGTGTGGGATCTCCTGCTATCGCGACCCATCGCGAGAATTTGCAATCTACAGATCATGCGCTCGTGATCCTTCCCGCTCTCACTTTGTGTGATGCTAAGCAGGGGCCCTGAGGTTCGAAGCGCTCGAACCGAGTGCTATATTAGCTCCTGTAACCGAGAAAAAATATTACGTTTGCACTACGGATGCAGAGCTGCGTCCGGAGTCCAATCCAGTTTCGCCACATGTAATACAGGGACCCACCTACAAAACAGAAAAATAAAAGATTTATACCGTGCGTCCTGGCCCAAAACCCAGAACCAATGTTTTTAAAATTCAAAAATTAACTTATAATCATGTGGCCGACCAGAATCCAACACTAAACTTGCAACGCTTCATTCAAAAGGCATTTTGTGACATTTTCTTGACACTATTCGTACGGTTTCAAGTTCTTCGTACGATTCCTTCCTCCTCGGCAAAACCCTATGTTTTTGTTATGCATTCCACACAACTCAAAGGAAGGTGAGTCATTCGGCAACATTTTCCAGTCGACAAAACACTAGGTTGCGCATTGCACCGGAGGAGGAAGTGGGAATCACTACCTCTAGCTGAGCACTTAGCTTCTTTAATCTGAGATGGGGGTGTAGATAGTGACATTGAGAACTGGAATGGCCGAACATACGACAATTCGAGCAATACAAAGGGAAAGACTCAATCACAACCATTTGTCAATATCCATTGTGTTATGTGTCTAACCAAATTTCCTCAAAAGTGATTGAAGTGATGTCTCTTTCAACAAGTACCCTGGCTTCAGAGGATCGGGAAAGATTAAAAGTATGAATGTCCGTTTTGAGTGGCTTACCATAGACTAAGAAAATAAAGTACAACACCTTTTGAGTAAAATAATGAGATTTCAGCCCATGGAGGCGAATCCAGACCGAAATTATTAGTGGTTCTGACTATAGGTCAAAATCTTTATAGCTCTGTTATTAATTCAGATTACTCTTCTAGCAAATAAGCGTGTGTGATCCTCTTCATTATTAAGTTAAATAAGGATGTACCTTCTATCTAAAAGTCCAATTGTCCACTCCCCAACAATGTGCATAACCTCAAATTCCTTCCGAATAAGCTTCATTTTGAGATGGTCATAAAGAAATTTTCTGACCAAATTCAGACGACAAGAGCAAGCAAATTGATTACATTCAACTTCCGTAAAAAAATGGCTGACTTCTCATTCTTCCTACCAGGTATCTTGATGTCCACCGCTAACTTACACGGAGGGAAAGAATAAGATTTAAAAGTACCTGAGGCGTGGACACCAGCAAAGGCAGTAGCATACGATCTGTCCAAAGCCATCACCAAAAGAGAAAGGCGCGATGATAGGACAACAAAGTTACAGTGGACGGAAGAGCAAATGTCGTAAGGGAGATCACCGGTAACCTCGTCCAAGTCGAGCAGAGGGCGGAAATGTAAAATGCGAAATCTCTGCTTCGAGCTTGAGGAAAGGAAGAGCCTGCACCCAGACGTCCTTCGAAAGACGAAGGATTGCGAGAGGCAGCTGAGAAGCTTGACACACAACACCCCAGAGCTCGACGAACGCGAGCCTTCTTGGGACGACGAAGTACGAGCCGCTGAAGACAAACTCAAGCCTTCTCGGAACGACGAAATACGAGCCGCTGTGACGCAAGGAAATGACAGCGAAACAGGTGACGAAAAAGACGAACGACGAGTAGTGCTTGATCGACGAAAAGATACAATGGAGCAAAAAATCAGGGTTCGCCATAAAGGCGAAACCCAAGCAGAGCGAGAGAGAGAGATCGACGAAGCCATTGTTGTTATGTATTCACTTATATATATGTGTGTGTGTGTGTGTGTTTATGTAAATGTAAGATTGAAAAAAAAAATAATGACATTACAGATGCAAAAGAAAGAATAAAAAATTCTCCAGTCTATCATCATAATAATGAGCAAAGAAAGAGTATGAAATTAATAAAAATATCAAGGACTACAAAAATTTACTCTTTTAGCATAACTTATTTAATAATTTATACATTTGGTTGAGATTTGCAAAATTTATATTTAGTTATTCAAGACAAGTGTGTCCAAATTTTATTAAACTGGACAATTGACTAACATGTTCAATGTGTCTCAACATGTATAGATAACGCATACTCCATTACGACAGAGTGTCAGCGCATAATAGCTAAAATATGTCAAGTGTTAGGTAAAATTGAATTAATCAAACCTATAAAAATGTTGTCAAATGATAGAAGTCTGCCAAGATCTTCTGCACTACCAGTAAAAGAATGAACAACTCCACCAGTGAATCTAGAAAACAAAAATAAAAGAACCAGGGTTATCACTTTTGATAAATTACTAATTACAAACATACCACAACTGTATCAACCTGTAATGACAAATGGGATCATTAAGGCTCTGTTTGGATTGAGGTAATTAAAAAAAGAGGAAATGAGGTAAAATCACTTGTTTCGTAGAGGAGAAACTAAACGAAAAGTCTTTTGATAGGTTGATCACTTGGTGCACCATTCAAAAGTAATGGAAAAGGAAGATTCAAAAATTTGGCATCAAACAAGTAGAATAAGATAATTAATGATGATGAATATGCTTTGTGTAGTAGTCCATAAATTGAAGTTTCTTGTTCTTCATATTTCTTCAAACAGTTGGACAAAGAATTTCAAAGTTATATTTACTAATCGCATGTCCAAGATGAACCATTAAAACTTTACTATCTGCATATTTTCCAATAACACTTATTATATGCAGAGTGGCATGGCAGAAATACTCAGAACATTAAGAAAAATTGATTCGGGAAATTCACCTGTCGATATTTTGCGCCAAGATGTTGCAAAAATCATCAGGTGCAGCACGCATGTGCAAAAACATTGGCAATTTCAAAGTTTCTGCTAATTCAAATTGCTTTGCGAAATACCTGGCTCAAAAAAAATTGATTAACATACAGCACTAAGAAAATGTAAATAACTCCAATCATTTTGATTTCAGCATAATACCCTGTTAAACATGAAACTAATAATACCATCAAGAAATGCATAACCTTCAAGAAACCTACGAAGAAAAGCCTATAGGCCATCAACGGTGTATTTATGTATAAGATCATTACAGGAGACGAGCCTTTTGTATACTAACATCTACTTGAAAAATCAGTTTTATTGCACTAACTAGATATGATTTATGAACGAGTTATTAGACATTCTTTGAATTCCAAGTTTAATAGATCAATGTTTCAAATAAACATTAAAAATAAAAACTGCAAGAGAAAATGGATTCCTAAGCATATACATTAAGTGAAAAGCCAAAGAAGAGAATAATGCTGACCCAAATAACTTTGTTTTGCAGTAAATAAAAATTTTATCACTATACATGAAGAGAAGATTTTAGCCAGCCAATGCATTATAATTAAAAATTTTAAAGGACTTCCGTTCAGCAGTCAAATGTGTTTAAGTATGGCAATCATAGCATGGTGTTAATTAAGTAAAAGAGTTAAAATAACATGCATGTTCCGAACTAAAAAGGAGAATTTACATACATAACACTTAATCTTTATGTATTTACATATCTTACACCTAAACTTCGCTTATTACTACCACTCAATTATTTTGTATTTACATATCTGACACCTAAACATCACTTTTTACATAACTATCACACATCTTTCATATCACATTAAAACTGCCACTATGTTAACTTTTAAAAAGTGACATACACCTTTTCATGCATAGCTAAGGTGGCATATATGTACAAATAGAAGTTTACGTGTTAGATATGTAAACACATAAGGA